CACTTTATTCCTAAGTTCATTTATTGATTTTATAAATATTTGCAAACATGAAATCTTGGCATATATTTTGGGAGAACTTTGACTACTTGTATTAGTAAAACTAAAAATATTTTGGATAAACCTTTTTATACAAATCCTTTATTATATGCTAATGTAATAGATGCTAATTGTCATAGAAATAATTTCATTTGAAAATTGTGGTTGTAGAGTTTTATTGAAAACGTGTAAAATTCGTTGAAAAAAATCCCTCCCTTTCTATTTAGGGTGCGATACTGAAACGTAGAACAGTTGCAGCCCTTCTTATATACAACAAGTAAAAAAAAGTTTGGTCGATAAACATTTAAAAATAGGGTAATACGCCCCCTTAAACACAGGTGGTACATGCACAAGGGACCGAGTACTGTACTCAAATGAGCCATAGACATTAGAAGAAACTTTTTTACTGTCATGAGTAGTTAACAAATGGAATGCATTAGGCAATAATGTGGTGGAGGCAGACTCCATACACAGTTTCAAATGTAGATATGACAAGAACCCAACAGGCTCGGGAATCAGTACACCAGTTGACTGACAGACAGGCGGGACCAAAGAGCCGAGCTCAACCCCCGCAAGCACAACTAGGCAAATACAGGGTAAATGTTTGCTTCATGTTGATTTCATGCAGTCTTCCACTGTATTTATCCTCAGAATTTTACAGTGTCAGTAAATATTGGGAGGAAGGAATCTATCCCCCCCCCTTTAAGTCATTCACATAGATTAGATATTGGCTATTATTGTTGGTAGTGGTGGCAGCAGTCAATGGTGTCCTCTGTTGGTATTGTGATACAGCTTTGATGAGACAGACACTTAAGAGTTTTGTTTACGGTCTCCGAGTCCAAAATTTTTAAGTACTGTAAAGTACAATAATTGGATAATTGTAAAATTTACAATATGAAATCAAAGAGGCATTCTATAAAATTAAACTGGAATAAATGCTATATCTGCAATGTCTATATACTGGTATAACCAAGTATATAAACATCTATACAGTATTTTACCTCCCTTCATTTTCATACTCTTCAGCAAAACCCCGTAGAATAATCTTCATAGTTCATAGATTTTCAGCCCAGTCAAGAGGCTAACATCCAGGAGCATGCAGGTGTCACAATAATGAAATTCTTTTCCTAGTTTCTCAGGAACCATTGAGCATTAGGATTTAATATTGTGGGTCAGGGTGCATGAGTAATCTTCAGTGGCACATTCATGTTTGGTTTACTTTTCATTTTTTGCTTCATATGCACCTAAAGACTAGAAATCTAACACCCATGTTTGGTGCCTTGCCTTGGACTCTAACGACTGTTTAGGTTTGATATTATACACTGAATAATGTATGTGTGAGAGAGACAAGTCCAGTGCTTGATTTTGGTGTTCAGATGACAGAAATGTGGTCCATTTTGACACCAGTCTCAAGACACCCACATTATTCACAATGCACCTTTTTACGTGTCTACCCCAGTGTCATCCTACAATGTTTTTGTTCTTGTCCCATAGCCCTGTATGAAATGTTGACAATTCTGTGCTAAACGAGTCACACTGGCTTCACATTAATTTGGTTATGAAAGAATTCAACATTTTTATTTTTTTTTTCTCCAATGATACATGGTAAATTATCGGTCTAAAAAATCTGTACAGTATACCGTGTCATCTGTAAAAAATCTGGTACAATATTTACAAATCATAAATTAGGTAAAGGTTCTGTTTTCTTTAGGTTTTAATTACAATACTGTATTGTACTGTCTTTGATATCAGTTCCCCAGAGTTGATCTGTGTTGACAAATCAACTTTGGGGAACTTACAGGGTGATTAGGGGTTGGTCCTTTTGGTCCTACTGAGAGGGGATAGGGCATATTTTAGTGATCCCTCCTACTAATTGGTGAAAAGTGGCTTGCTGAATCCATAGGTGTCTTTGCATTTTTTGAGATGGCAAGAAATGAAGAAAGTTGGGAAGAGATGGGAAGGAACCTAGGTACTGCTGGGTAAACTCCCCCCCCCCCCTCCTTCCCCCCACCTGTTCTGGAATATGCAGCACCAGCATGGAGTCTTTATCTTAAACAAAAAACAGCTGAATAAAGTTCAAAAATATACCATCGGACTAGTCCCAGAGCTGAGTGGTAGTATGTCCTATTAGGAAAGACTACATGTGTTAAACCTTACGTCGCTTAAAGAGACGACACAGAGGCGACCCGATTACAATATTGATAATACTCAAGGGAATAGAAAGGACAGACATGAACAAACCATTTTAGCTTGGAGTAATATACAAATATGGAGGACAGATGGAAACTAGTACCCAAATCAGCCCATGCATCAGAATGTTTTCAGTGCCAGTAGTGAATAAATGAAGTACAGTACGAAGTGAAGTGGTGGGAGCCAGACTCCATATACAGCTTTAAATATAGATATAATTCATATACAACTTTAAATGTAGGTATAATAAAGCCAATAGGCTCTGGAATCTATACACCAGTTGATTAACCACTATACTGCACAACACGCTTTGAGGCACTAGATCGGTGGTGCACAAGGCACCTCAGGGCACTCGTAGTACAGCGTAGTATTCAAAACTCCCGTGGCTAGTCGGGGCTCACATCAGCTTCCTCAGCGCTCTTGTATACAGATGCCATTTAAAAAAAAAAATTGTGCCAAACATTCCCCGGGTGAGAGCCTTAGTACTGAGTGAGCAACCAAGGCTGGCGCACACAGCATGAGCTAAAAGCACTGCTGTTCAGCTTGTGACCACAGCATCTTCTAATAATGTAAAAATATTTATGTGACGTATTATTTACCCACGATAGTACTGTATTATAGAAGAACCCGAGTGTGATAATGGCTGTGCACAATGTTCAAATATCAGTGAATCAATGTTGTTCAAGATTGAAACAGCACCACAGCTGAGTATATAAGTATCACACAGATACTTACATATAACGTGTGTGTGTATATAGTGTAATAACAGGAAAAGGAGTATGTTAGGAGGAGCCATTTTGGTGAGGGAGGTAGTTTTCTCCTAGTGTCGTCTGCTGGCTGGTGTGTGACTTGTCAGCAGTGTATGGTGAATAAAACATGTAGATACATATTTATAATGTGTATAGTGTAATAAAAACCACAAACAGTATTCTATGGGAGTAATTTTGGCACGTTAGGTGTTGAAGGAGTTTGGGAGGGGCTGGCTTAGTGTGGCAGCCCACTCTTGTTTTTTGGGCTCACCATACCAACTTAGCGATTCGTTATGATGAACACATATGTAGATAGGTATATACAATGTGTGTGTGTGTATAGTGTAATAACAGCAAAAAGTTTGACTGATCGTAGAATATAATACTGTATATATGAGCCCCATAATTTTGAGCATAGCGATGTTCCACATTGAACTATATAAATTCAACAAATTACACACTTCTGAATAATATTACAGCAAAAAAAAAAAAAAAAATGAGAAACATCAAAATAATTGTGAAACATTATATTCACAGAAACTGCCGCCCCCACAGGGTGGCGGGGCATTGACCCAGAGTGCCCAATCGCGCAGGGCCCATAATTTACTCAACTTTCCAGTTCCATCACGGCTAAAGTATGTCACATACATTTTTTTTTATTATTTTCCCGTGATCACAGACTGCATTTTAAGAATATAAAAGAAAAAATTTTTGAAAGTGTTTATTTTCGGCACACCATGGAGGGTGATATATTTTAATGCAGAGCAGTGCAGTGATTAAGTGTTCAGAGGAAGGACCAGAGAGCCATGCCCCATCCCCCGGAAAATACAACAAGAGGAGTACTGACCACAACACTGACCACCACCTCATCAACACTGGCCAACACCAATGTTTATGCCTTCAACGCCCACAATGCCAATACAGACCACCAGTTCACCTCCACCACAACAAGACCAACAACCACCACAACCTAAACAACAAGACCTACCACCACCACAACAAGTCCAACCACTACCACCAAATCAACAACACTACCATTACAACAACGCTGACCACCATAACCACCAAAAGCCAGGGCCATGCTTGAGGAGAAGAACTCTCAGAACTCCATCCAGGTACAATCCAGGACTAACAATAACACTGACCACCACACCAAACACCAACATTAACTACCACACCAAACACCACCACAACACCAACATTAACCACCACACCATCAACATTAACCACTACACCAACCACCACAACACCAACAATAACCACCACACCACCAACATTAACCACCACACCACCAACATTAATCACCGCACCACCACCACTGATCACCACAACACTACCAACATTAACCACCACACCACCAACACTGATCACCACCACAACACCAACATTAACCACCACACCACCAACACTGATCACCACCACAACACCAACATTAACCACCACACCACCAACACTGTTCACGCCAACATTAACCACCACACCACCAACACTGACCACCAAAACACTATTAACCACCACAACACCAACATTAACCACACCACCACCATTAACCATCACCATTAACCACCACACCACCACCACAACACCAACATTAACCACCGTTAACCACCCCAACACCACCGTTAACCACCACACCACCCCAACACCACCATTAACCACCACCACACCACTCACCACCCTGGAGGCAGTGACCCACAAGGGAGAGAGGAGTTGACGTGGTGTTGGAGGTGTGGTGTAATAAGATCATAGGGAGGTGGAAGCCTCACCGGCCGGCTGCCCATCACATGCCCGCGCCCTCCTCCTCACCACAACAGTCCCTCGCCGGCCCCACGCCCCCCTGGCTCCTCTCCTAAGTAACTACTATGCCTGTGTTCGCCATTGGAGGTGAGGTGTATGTGATATGGTCAATACCCCCAGTGGCGGCGGCCTGTACTCCCGCACCAATATCTGCCCCCGCGGCCCTGCCCCGCCCCGTCCAGCCCTCGCCCTCTCTCACCCTGCACCCCACAAAGTCTCTGTACTCACCAAGTGCGTCCATTTCGGCCTCAGAGGTAATAAAACACGCTTATTCCCGGGTAGTGGTGGAGCCTCACTGCTATGATAGGTGTTACTCTCCTCGCTCCCGATCACAAACTCTTCATAACACCCACAAACTCCTTCCACACTCGCCGCTCAACACTTCACATACACACTAACACATTTTATTCCACCGCAAGGCCCTTCAAGAGTTATTATCCCGCCGTCGTCACCCACACTTGGCGTAGAAATTATTGCTAGTAAAAAATTTGCGGAGAGTAGAAAATAACATTGGAACTTATCTAGGCTTTAATCAGCTGGTCCAAGGCGAGATGCGTCGAGTGGTGGTATTGGCTGGCGGCCGTGAGCCCCGCGCTGGCTCCTGCTAACTCCGCCAATCACAATTTTGCTTACTACATTTAAGAAATCATTTATACACAGCCCACCAATCACAACCTCGAAATACACACGGCACATCACAGTATACAAAATACACATTACATATATACCTTTGGCTTCAGTATTTATTTAAAATTCTCTAGATTTTTATGTTTTAGTATTTAAGGGTGAGGGAGAGTCGGTTACTGGGAGAGGCGGCGGCCGTAACACTCTCGCTGTCCTCTCCTCCATATTAATATTTCTGCGCTCTTTAACGACATTTAAATGCCTTGATAATTGTGTGTCGCACCGGGATAAAATTACGATACTCGAGGTTAATGTTATTGTTGTAAAATATATTAGGCAAGTAGGGTGGAGGGCGTCGAGCAGGTGAGGTGATGGCGGCGATCAGCGGCTTGTGGCACTCACATGAGGCCCTACCAGGCACTCACCCTCACCACGGTGGCACTCGGCCCCAGTCACACACTCACGCTTGCATTGTAGGCACTCGGTCCCAGTCACACACTCATTGTAGGCACTCGGTCCCAGTCACACACTCATTGTAGGCACTCTGCTCCAGTTAGACCCTCAAGCTTGCCTGGGAGGCACTCTGGCCCAGGCAGGTGATGAGATAGGAGGCACTCTGGCCCAGGGAAGTGATGATATGGGAGGCACTCTGGCCCAGGGAGGTGATGAGAGGCACTCTGGCCCAGGGAGGTGATGAGACGAGAGGCACTCTGGCCCAGGGAGGTGATGAGACGAGAGGCACTCTGGCCCAGGGAAGTGATGATATGGGAGGCACTCTGGCCCAGGGAGGTGATGAGAGGCACTCTGGCCCAGGGAGGTGATGAGACGAGAGGCACTCTGGCCCAGGCAGGTGATGAGATAGGAGGCACTCTGGCCCAGGGAAGTGATGATATGGGAGGCACTCTGGCCCAGGGAGGTGATGAGAGGCACTCTGGCCCAGGGAGGTGATGAGACGAGAGGTACTCTGGCCCAGTGAGGTGATGAGATGGGAGGCACTCTGGCCCAGGGAAGTGATGATATGGGAGGCACTCTGGCCCAGGGAGGTGATGAGACGAGAGGCACTCTGGCCCAGGGAGGTGATGAGACGAGAGGCACTCTGGCACAGGGAGGTGATGAGAGGCACTCTGGCCCAGGGAGGTGATGAGAGGCACTCTGGCCCAGGGAGGTGATGAGAGGCACTCTGACCCAGGGAGGTGATGAGAGGCACTCTGGCCCAGGGAGGTGATGAGAGGCACTCTGGCCCAGGGAGGTGATGAGAGGCACTCTGGCCCAGGGAGGTGATGAGAGGCACTCTGGCCCAGGGAGGTGATGAGAGGCACTCTGGCCCAGGGAGGTGATGAGAGGCACTCTGGCCCAGGGAGGTGATGAGAGGCACTCTGGCCCAGGGAGGTGATGAGAGGCACTCTGGCCCAGGGAGGTGATGAGAGGCACTCTGGCCCAGGGAGGTGATGAGAGGCACTCTGGCCCAGGGAGGTGATGAGAGGCACTCTGGCCCAGGGAGGTGATGAGAGGCACTCTGGCCCAGGGAGGTGATGAGAGGCACTCTGGCCCAGGGAGGTGATGAGAGGCACTCTGGCCCAGGGAGGTGATGAGAGGCACTCTGGCCCAGGGAGGTGATGAGAGGCACTCTGGCCCAGGGAGGTGATGAGAGGCACTCTGGCCCAGGGAGGTGATGAGAGGCACTCTGGCCCAGGGAGGTGATGAGAGGCACTCTGGCCCAGGGAGGTGATGAGAGGCACTCTGGCCCAGGGAGGTGATGAGAGGCACTCTGGCCCAGGGAGGTGATGAGAGGCACTCTGGCCCAGGGAGGTGATGAGAGGCACTGGCCCAGGGAAGTGATGAGAGGCACTCTGGCCCAGGGAGGTGATGAGAGGCACTGGCCCAGGGAGGTGATGAGAGGCACTCTGGCCCAGGGAGGTGATGAGAGGCACTCTGGCCCAGGGAGGTGATGAGACGGGAGGCACTCTGGCCCAGGGAGGTGATAGGAGGCACTTAATACCATGGGTATAGACATACTGAAGATAGGAGCAGGAGGAGGAGGAAGGTGGACAGAGGAGAGACTAGAAAGGCAGCTCTCCCTGCCTGGGATGTTGTCAGCATATATATCCTCACCTTTGACCCCTAAAGAAGGTAAAGTTCTTCCTTGTCTTCTCACTTCCATTTTGCCCTTGTAACTCGTGCAATTTGTTTTTCTCCAAATTAGTACAAATTATTGCATGATTGAGCTTTGTATATTATTTGCTTAAATTGTGCACTTGGTGACATAGTACAGTACTGTATGTACATAATGCATTGTCCATTTTGTAGGTACCCCCTACCAGCTTACCACACCTAATTATGGTCAGGTTAGTATAATATGTTTAGAGAGAGTTGGTGAAAATTGCGACTTAGTAAAGTGATATAATGTATAGATAAGTCTGCCCATATTTCAACATGTTCCCGACTTATGAGAGAGACCATAAATCACTACGATTCGGAGACTAATCTGATATTCTTAAGATAGCCAGAATAACCCCGACTATAACAGTGGAGGTCACACAAACTATTATATGCACTATGTTATTGTGATTCATCATTTATTTATTTATTTATTTATATACAAGACGGTACATTGGGTTTGTGAGAATACATAGCATATTATTTACAATCTTGTAAAGCCACTAGTACGCGCAGCGTTTCGGGCAGCAAAAAAAAAAAGTGCCAGAAAAAATCATCTGTAAGTAATAGGTTCTGACAAAATTGACAAAGAAAAATGTTTGAAAACCGCACCTTCAATAACAAGAGATCATAAGATTCAAACAAACCTGCAAATTCTTTTTTTTTTTTTTTTTTTTTTTTAGAAAGTTCACTTGTGCAAACAGAGTGGTAGACGGTTGGAACAATTTAAGTGAGAAGGTGGTGGAGGCCAAAACTGTCGGTACTCTCAAAGCATCATATGACAAAGAGTACTGGGAAGACGGGACACCATGGCCATAGCTCTTGACCTGTAACCACACTTTGCTCTTGACAAATAGGAGTCCCTGATAAGACTATTTGTTGGCTTTGGAAAGGGCTTTGACACTGTTAACTATAATAACCTTAAATTTCATTCCTATGGCATCAAGGGCTCACTTCTTTATTCAACATTGTACAAGTGCTGTATACTTGACAGATGAAGTTGTAACTACAGCTGTGACACATGCATACACCTTGTCCCCTAATGTTAAATAACTGCACACTGTATTCACTGGTATACAGTAGTTGAGAAAGCTACAAATTGGGAGTTATGATAGTCCCTTTAACATACTTTAGCAACCTTAAACCTGGAATGCCGAAGCTGAGTGTCTATCAGTATTTCATAGGTCTTCTCTCCCATGGTACATTACCATCTGTAATAAACACCTCCGAACTTGTTTCCATTCCAATGAACTGCCGAGCTTCTATGTCCGCCTCCAATAACTATGCAATACGTACAGCTATTGCCATAAACATACTGTACTACAGGGGTACCTCAGCTTACTAATTTAATCCGTTCCCAGAGATGGCTTGTAAACTGAAGCGAATTTCCCCATAAGAATTAATGGAAAATGAATTAATTCATTCTAGACTCCCCAAAAAATTAACTTCAAAGTAAATTTTATACCTAATTCACCCAAATCTTCAGTATTAAAGTACCTGTATGTACAAGTTATTACTTGCCTGTACTGATATACTCCTGTTGGCATGTGGAAGATGGTGAGGATGGGGGGAGGAGGAGAGGTGTTACTGTTTGGAAGGGAAGTCCCCTTCCATTATAACATCAGGCAGTGATATCTTCTCTGGGGTACACTCTGGCACATTTTGCCTGCATACCACTAGGACCTGTTTGTGGCTCATTGCTTGCTTATCTTACTAAGAATCTGTCTAAAGACACTTGTTTTTCCCTACATTTTAACACTTGTCTGTAGTAAGACATCACATTGTCATTTAAAGGTCAATGAAACAGCCTGCTACAGCTTTATCTGAGTGAGTTCTTATAACAAAACTTTGCAGTTATTCCCATACTTCACACATTTTCTTAATGAGGAAGGGACATCCTCTACCGCCACATCTACTCTACATACTCACAACTATTTTCTTAGGTTGAACCTTACCACTGACTTTCTTGGGACCCATGGCAAGATATATTATAATTATGTTCATGTTCAAATACCCAAAAATCCGAAAAACACTGAAATTCATTACAAAGAATTCAAGCGCGAGTGTCACTAGGCAGGAGCCACTGGTAAACTGAGGCGCGATCGCCATGCCACCACACTCTAGGTCCGCCCATACGCATATCAACAAACTCGTTTCCCGAGGCAAAGTTCATAACCCGATTCGAATTTTCTGAAGAAATTGGGCTTGTAACCCAAAAAATTTGTAAAAAAGAGCATTCGTAAGCCGAGGTGTCACTGTATTAATATATTTAATTAAATTAATAGTATGTTTATGGCAATAGCTGTATAGTTCTGCCCAAAATGCTGCGTGTACTAGTGGCTTTACAAGATTGTAAATACCATGCTATGTACAGTATTCTCGCAAACCCAATGTACCTTCTTGTATATAAATAAATAAGTTATCTGAGGCAGACACAGAAAGCTGTATAATTATCTGAGGCAAACACAGAAACTTTAGAAAATTAAACTAAGTACTACTGTATTTGATTATTGTACATACAGTACTGTATTCATTAACATTCTAGCTGATTAACTAGACACCGCTGACTTTCAATTTGCATACAAAACTAGGTACATGACAATGCTTTGTAGTTTTGTGGTGGTGAAAACTATTTAGTACAACAACTCACAATGTAGGTCTCTGCTCTCTGTTTCTGGATGCTTACTA